AACTGAGGGAAGTAAAACCCAAGGAAAGCGTCAAAGCGCGTCAACTGGGAAATTTTTAATACACATGTTGTGTATATCACACTCGACCAGTTGAACAGTAATTTATATATAAAATGGAAATTAAATTTATTTCAGATGTTCGTTGGATTAATTTTAAAATAATTTAAGTGTTTAATAATGAACATGGTATGTACCAAAAAATGTGGTATCAACATGTATCGGAATATTCTGTGAGCTTGTGCCTAAAGTATAGGCGATATCGCCATAGATCACCTTCGGATCCCTATGACAATAATAGTTAATAGGTAATCATAAAATCAAGTACTGGATTCAGAATTGAAAACTGCTTTAAAAAAAAAAAACTAAAAGAATTGAAAACTAAAGTTAGAGAAACTCTCGTATTAAAAAAAATGATATAATCATAAAAAGAATAATAATCATATAAAGGTGGATTAATAATAATAAAAAAAGAAAAAAATATTAAAATAAATAATTACAAAATTATAATTATTAATTCACTTTTACATAATTGTAATTTTTTCATATTATATAATATTTTTCCGCGTGAGATATTCATTTCCAAAGTGAGATGCATAATGGGTGCGAGTTTTACGTTGATATGGACACGTGGATAATTATTTATGTTTCAAAATCTCGATCATGAACATAAGGAAAAGAAGGGCAAATTTCGTCGACAAATTTACTGCTCCATTTGCAGACTGTGGAAGAAGAATTGCTATAGCTGTATCCTAAAATTGACTTTGAAATTCGGCTTAGATGGTTTATGATTTTTCCATCGTATCAGAATTGAACAAATTCTTCTTCTTGTTTCTTTTTTCTTTGTAATCTTAGCTTACCGACATTCAAAAGGTAGTTGGGTCGGTTATTTTTATTTTTTTAGAACGTTATTTCTTAATTGACAGCCAACATTAACCGTGGTTGGTAAAATATGCCAATTACGAGTGTCAATTTGGGCCGGGTTAGGCCATTATAACATGTTAATTAATAATTATAATTCAAATTAATAAATTATTGGTCTGAATGTCCCTATACACAGTTGCAAGTTATTCGAGCTAACATGATTTTTATAATTATTTTATATAATTAAAAGTTTAAAAAAATTAACTGCAATAACTTATTAATATATTTTATTTAAATATTAAATTAATTTACATTTAAAGACTTAAAATTGATTATTACTTTAAAAATTAAATAATTATATCAGAATAATATTTAGATAAATTTAAGAAAATATAATTATAGTAATTAATTATAATAATTTTGGACTTGAACCAATCCACGTCTTGATAAGACCAAACCGGACTAATTTTTATATTTATTTATTTCTTACCCAACCCATACATTTTATAGAATTATTTAGGCTGACCGGTTGAACTCCTATTTTAACACCTGTAACGTTAAAGGGAATGATTTTTGAAATATGTAAACAGTTAAAACAATGACAAAATATAGCATATTTATAATATAATATAAATATTTTTTAAAAATTTATAAAATTAGACTCAATAATTAGAATTTCAATTATGATATACACGTAATATAAGATAAAAGATTTAATTTAAATTGAAACCTAATTCCATGTCCAAATAAAGTGGGCCGATACAATTTACCAAAAAAACAAACAAACTGGGCCGACATAAAATTCGATTCATGGATCGATGAGCTGCACCTTGTGGTTAATTTGCGTACAATTTCAACCGCGTCCAGATTATTCTCTCTCTCTCTCTCTCTCTCTCTCTCTATTATCTTGGTGTCCTTTGACCACTTTTTTAAAGAAAAACTGTTTGGCAATGAATACACGTTTGAGATAATCTTAATTATTTATATTCAAATTTACGGTGATTAAAGATAAGAGAGGGACTTTATTTAGTTATAAACAGTTGATACTTTGCTTTATATGGTGTTATTATATTAAATAACACGAGAGATTTATTCTCACTTGAAAATTTGGAAAACGCTATCCAGTTTTTTTTTTTTTTCAAAGAATTCAATCAGCATTTATCAAAATTAAAAACAATTATTGAATAAGTCAGATTCGTAAAATCCTCTCAGGTATCCATGCGCTAATATTGATGTCAAGTTATTAGCAGAAGTTTAATATATAGCTGTTTTTTAAATTATGTTTAGACTAGAATATAAGGAACTCCATGTATCTATGGTCTATCCATAAAAGTTGTTTTTATTTATTTATAAAAAAGCCACATAAAATATAACTCTTCTAACTCACTAACTTATGCATAATAATAATAAAAAAAAAAGCCGTCAAAAATCCCAATTACAGTCTCCAGAATTAGAAAGCATAAATGAATTTGCAACTTTCTATTTACGTAAAATCTTATTTATTGAATATACTATTGGTTAGTTGGTAACAAGTGGTTACCTTTACACTCTGTATGATTGGTCAAGGAAGTGATAATGCTGATTCTATTTTTTTAAGTGCATGCACTTAAACAGTTAAACCTCATTGCTATGTTTCCACTGTTGACTATTGTAAATGACTCTCCCCTGGCTATGAGACTCAGGCAGAGGGTAGTGATTCCATTTTTTATAGTGGCGCAAAAGAGTCATCCTAGACATAAGGACTAAGAGTGAAGGAGATACATAATAAAAAGCTCTGATAGCAATTGATATGAATCTTAGGAGAGTTTTACCGCAAAACTAGTCTATACGGTAAGAGAATCCATAATTAATATAAATCCTACATCAGACCTTTATATATTCGATGTGGGACTCCGAGTCTCATATCTTCTTGAAGTAGGATTGTAACATATTATGTATTATGAAACTTTGAGACTAATTATTATCCATTCAAGTATATAATAATTTTTTATTTTGCGTTCTATCTATGAAGATTTGTGTGAAACATTAGTTTGAAACGAATGTATAAATTGACATGCATATACTATAGAGAGCTCTGTTGCTTTATACACACATATACAAGTAAAAAGAATTAAGAGGAGGAGAGTTTCTTTGTGTTTTATTTTTGTACATTAAGAGGAATGAATTGATTCTATCTGAAATTTACAATTTTGAGAATAGTTGAAAAGCTAATAGGGAAAGAAGATATGAATGGCTGAAACATTACGTTAAAGTACATCAAGAGGCAAATTAATATGCTGAAATAGAAGGATAGAGTAAATTGAATTTAAAATACGTGAGATAATTTTTTTTTTCCAGCTAATAAATTTTTAAGGATTTTTTAAGAGTTATGTTGTAGGAAAAGTGATTGTGTAATGTTATAGAGATTCGTTTTGCGTGCCGTAATTTTATTTTATTTTTTCTTCAAAAAGTGTGGGCCCCAACAAATGTTGTGTGTGTAGGAAAGTTTATTGTGTGAGAGAAATGCAAACCCCAATTTTTAAATGCCTAAGAAATACCATCCAAAATGGTTTTCCTAAATTTTTATAAACCCCAAAATGGAGTATACTAGGCAAAAGCACCATAGTAAGAATATTTGCTGAAAGATTTGCCCAGTAAAAGCATGAAGGTGAGAATATGACATTGAGCAATCCATTTTCCTAGCGGTGGGGGTATATATATACAGGGTTTGGGGCTGGTTAGGTACGATGGACGGTTAGGATTTAAGCAAGATGTATTGATCACGTAAGGTGTTTGGGCAGGACTAGTCTAGTACTTGAAGGATACATGACTACTCCCGTATGGATCAGTTACGAGACTAGTCCCGCACTGAAACCATATGTTTTGGGTGACGGGACTTCATGAACCAAGCTGACATGGACATTATTCTTGTATGGATTCGTTACGGGACTGATCACGTACCTGCAACCTATGATTACATTACCGTGACAAAACATATCAAACATTCCTTGACTGGGCAAATCTTTCAGAAAATGTTCTAAGTATGGTGCTTTTGCCGAGCATACTAACACCCAAAAAATAATTACTCACCTTATATTTGGATAGCATACATTATAGAAAATAAAGTTGTATAAATCGCTTATAAACTCCTTCAAGCAACAAATCGTTGAAAGCACAAATGATGAGATTAGTGTTTGGAGAAGACCAATTTATATTTATATATTTAAGATAGATGGCTTAGTTTAAGTCATCAAATTATAAAAAATAAATGGCTTTTGTTCTTGCCCCTGTTCCATTGGGAGCTGAAGCCGAAAAGTCTCCTCTACCCCAACGTTTGCCCCCGAAAATACATTATATATAAAAAAAAGCAATACAATACCGGAATACCTAATTATTCAGTACTTAGATAATAACACAGTCCCCTTTGGCTAGTAGAAACTGTTAATACTCGGAAGCGCTTCTACCATTCCAGTTGAAGAATTTAGATATAATCGCACATGTTCAGTCAAGTGACAACCATTGATATCTCTGCAAGTTTTAGATACCAACAAGCAGACTTGCAATCTAGTAAAAGGCAAAAATTCCCAGTGCTGACGAATTAAAACTACGCACAAACCCTAGCTACGAAATTAGTGGGATCACACAAATGAAGAAAAAAACAAATGGAAAAAACCTCGTCCACTAAAACTTAGCCATTGAAAAAACTCCACGTCAGCAATTTCTGATATATATTTTCCTCAACAATAAGATGAAATCAATGTTGTGGCCAATATATCAAAACCTATGTTGAAAAAAGGAAAAGAAAATGGGATTAGTGGTGAATTGGTGATGTATATATCGATAGACAAATTAAGTGCAATATCACTGTTGATAGTTTTGACGTTGTTTAAGGGAAGTAGCTTTCCTTTCCTTTTTTATTTTTTTTTTTGGTTACAGAACACGCTCTCCAACCCAGATATCTCCAACACAAAGCTGGCTTACAACCCAATCCTTCACACGAAGCAGTTCAGCAACAACTGGTTTGCACTTTCATCTCAGAACTCCTTCTCCAGCGATCATATTTTCCCTTCAATTCCATACCCCAATAAAATGGCTTCCCTCAACTGTCAACTGCCATCAAATTTCTTCACTCAAACAAAAACAACAACAGCAACAACAACATGCGTTCCAGTAACGGTGACAGTTGTGCATCAAGCAACGCCAGTGGCAGCAGCAGCAACAGCAACAGCAAAGCCTCTTCTGAAACAACTGGCCGTCACCCGGTGTACCGGGGAGTGAGGCGTCGGAGTAGTGGGAAATGGGTTTCTGAAATTCGGGAGCCAAAGAAGCCAGATAGGATTTGGTTAGGAACATTTCCTACACCAGAAATGGCAGCTATTGCTTATGATGTTGCTGCGCTTGCTCTTAAGGGTAAGGATGCTGAACTCAACTTCCCTAACTCGGCTTCTTCGTTGCCTGTTCCTGCTTCTTCCTCTGCCCGTGATATTAAGATGGCTGCTGCTAGTGCTGCATCTGCTCTTGGAGCTGCCAAGGATGCATTAATGGCTATTGAAGGAAACCGAGGAGGGAATGTTTCAGTGGCACAAGATATGGCAACGGGGAATGAGTTTGTTGATGAGGACTTGATCTTTGATATGCCAAATGTTCTGGTTAATATGGCTGAAGGAATGCTTCTTAGCCCTCCTCGATTTGACATTGCTAGCGAGTATGCTACCCCAGAAAACTTGGGTGAAGACCCAAACCTGTGGAGTTTCCCTTATTTCCCATAAGATAAACCTTTTCATTATTAAACTTAAATAAGATATTACAATGCATGATGTTGAAAAAAAAAATAAAAAAAAAATAAGATAAGGTAAGCTGTAATAAATTATGGGAGAACTCTCACATCAAGGCTTTGCTTAGACATGAGGTAATGTAATGTGTGTATGCATGGAAGTGCGTCTTTCTTTCTTTCGGGTTCTTTTATTCCCAATGTACAGTGTCTTCTATATATATATATATTCAGGTTTGCAGCTGCTGAACCTTAAATATGTAATGTTTATATTGTCATGTTATAATGTGTTAAATAATCTCTTAGGTTTTTAATTAATTATATCTTCTCAGCTTGTAGATTTGCTGGCAGTCCTTCTAGAATTAATCTTTAACATTAATTTCAGAATCTTGCAAACAAACTTGGACACACAATTTGCACCTGGTCATGTTAGATTTGTTTTCAAACCGTAGTTATAAAGGTTTGCCTCCCTTGAAGTATTTCTTAATTCCTTACATGTTAGTTAAGCCTGAAAGATAGCCAATCCAACTAGTCAAAACAATTAGTGTAAAGTTTAAATTCATTCCATGGACCAAGTTATAATCCCTCACTTCGGTTTTTATTTTTATTTTTTTAATTAAATCGGACGAACATGAGACCAGATCTTTAAGCACACTTCGCTAACCAAGTGAGCCACACCACGGGGCATTGGTTTAGCGGATAAAAGAGAATAAAACCATCGTAGTTTGGTAAAGAAAAGGGGGCAAGTGGTGTGAAGGCTTAATCATTCGGAATTGGAATTAATGGTGCTGGTTTCTTAATCATGTTCCAACCTCCAACCTACTATTCTATCGATTATACAAGAATGTAGCATCAACTAACTTCTTGCGGGCTTTGGACGATAAAAGTTGACGTGTCGTCATTCTCTATAGAAGTTGGAGTTTTCAAACATGGCATCCCAACATGGAAAAACGATGCCATTGAACATATTTATGGACACTGACACTTTACCTTCTTTTGATAGTATCGGTCTCCTATGTCATGCAAGAGTGTTTAAATGTCATACGTATGTATACCTTATATAATGTTTGACTATATATATTCATGTGCATGTCTTTCAAGCACACTAATTTAAGGTAGTTTCTAAAGAAACACGCAGCAAGACTTAAAATTAAAAGTGCAAAAGTTTGTAATAAGATACTGTATGAGTATTTAAAACACAGGCTGGTGCAAATATTTCAAAAGCACCATCAGTTGATTTTGAAAGGTTCACGTCAATTCTGTTATCTTTACATTTCCCCTACTTTAATTTGAAGGGATTGGTCCGATTATACGTGTGTGGGTATTTGGAAAAGCACGGTATATTAATAAGTAGTATCAAGAAAAGAGATGAAAATATATTATTATCAACAATATTGCAAGTGGCTTAGTAAAGCTACAGCAATGTCTCATTTGAAAATATGATGATTTCAATCTCAAAGGTATTAAGTGCCTCCTCCCACACTTCCCTATCAATATATATATGTGCCTCCTTCCACACTTCCCTATCAATATATATATATATATATATATATATATATATATGGATTTTATAAAAATTATGTTGTAGGAAAAGTGTTTGTGTTATGTTATAGAGATTCGTTTTGTGTGCCGTAATTTTTTTTTTTTTTTGCTTCAAAAAATGTAGATCCCACAAAATGTTGTGCGTGTAGAAAACTTTTTCTGGTTATGTTGCATGATGAATGCAAACCCCTATATATATATATATATTTATATATATATAAGTAAATTACACATTTCAATTTTATCAACATATATGAAATATTTAGTAAAATAAGCATAAATTATTATATATTTTGGTTTTTTCCCACTGTATAGTGGTTTAGGAAAAATATAAAAGTGCCGTAATGTAAAGTGATATAGGAATATAATTAGGATTTTATTTTAATATATAAGTAAAAGCATTTTAATTTATTTATCCGTCAATGTTGTTATCATATTAATTATTGAAAAAATTTGAATGTGGCATAACAATCTCTTAAAGAAATATTTTTTTTATGATATATCAGAATAAAATTTAAAAAAGTTTAAGATGGTTTTACACTAACGAAAAATAAAAATTAACGCCTTAACAAAAATTTTCATACTTTTTTAAAATTAAAATATATTAGAATGTATGATTCTATTATTTTATTGCTTAAAAATAATAAGATTAAAATAATGTCCAAATAATAATTCTCTAAAAATTACACTCATATAATTATCTTATCTTTATATATTTTTTTATTGGTCCATGGGCAGAAGAAAATTTACGTTAATGGACACAGTCAAGAGGTGTGATTATTAATAGGTAATAAGCAATGGTTTAAGCACCACGAAAGGCTTAATTATCACCATTACTGACTGTTGTAGTTTTGTGTTCTTTTTTCTGTTCATGGCAACAGATAACACTTCCCGCCGCTTAATTGAGATAGGCAAATAATTTTATCATGTCGCAGAATTTTTTGCAATTATTTTTTAATTATATATTTTTGAAAATACATAATTAAAAAAATTAACAATAATTTTTTAAATATATATTTTCTGAAATATATAATTATAAAAATAATTTTAATATTATAATTATCCATTCTTAAAAATACATAATTAAAAAATAGTTGCAAAAATTCTTGCATCATATACCATTGAGATATGCCATATTTGTACAACAAATTTACAGCTGTCTTATCAAAAACCATTGAATTAGTGCTAAAGCTATATGGTACAATGAATTTTGTCCAAATCTAATCTTTGAATGGCACAAGAGTTGTCGATTGTGGCCCAGCACACCTTTGTCTTGGCCTTTTCTGGATTGGGTCAAGAAATTTAGAACAAGACCTACAAAATTGAATAAAGAGATTAATGTTTCTTATTTTATAAGAAATAATTTTATGTTCTATATGCACATGAAAATAGGTGAGGCTCCTATAAAAAGAGGAGAGAGAACAAGAAAATATGGGTTCCATAATTTTTATGTGTGTATAGGAGATAAAATTATCTCTTACAACATGAAAAATACTAATTCTTTAAATAAAACCTTAATTAATTTGCCAAGAAAAATGTGTTGAGAATGGTACTAGGAGGCCAAAAACTTAAGTGAGTTTTTTGCACTTATATAATCTTCACTCTAATCATTTCTAATCGAAAACAGAAGACTTGAAACATCAATAGTGCTAGGAGGCCCAAAAGCTTTATAAGGGGTATATTCATTAATGGGTCAAATGACAAACCACAACAAATAAGTGGATAGCACATCTCAATCCAAAATTTTACGATTGTGGGTTCATGAGTTTTTTTTGCACTTATATGATTCTCACGCTGTTTATTTCTAATCAATGTGGAACTTTTATTATTACTCACTTGAATATTTTCAACATGGACAAATCGATGAATTAGTTAAAAAATAATTTTTTCTTTTCAAACATCCAACCAGTTAAATGAAATATTAATTGAATGTGAAATAACATTTCTCTTTTCACATGTTCCAGCTGATTTTATACTCGTGGCAAAGATCATGAATCGTCAACGGTTATTAGTTTTCTTATATAAGTTATATAAAGGAAAATAACTAATTATTATTAATAGGGGACGGTTATACTTACCACTAGATAAATTTATCACCCTTACAACAAATCTCTTAATCATTAGATTAGAATTAAATCTAACGGCGCATAATTACTCCTTATAATCCTAATTTTTTTCTCTCTGATCCCCTCTATGTCTCTCTCTAGTTTGGGATCTGCACACCTCTCTCTCTTTAGATTTGGGAATCAACTCTCTCATCCTGGTTTTTTCATTTCATGTTTTTCCTCCTATTGATTTAGATTGTAAACTAAATCGGTCACAATCTTTATATGCTAGTTGATTCATTCTGTTCGAATTTGAGATACTGTAAACAGCCATGGATGCGCGATTGCGATAGGCTTCAGAAACTCGCTATCATCCTCCTTTATTAGTTTTCTAATCACATATTCCATTAAATCAACACAAATCAACACCGTATACAGCCATGGAATTCTTTCATTACTTTAATAATTCATTCATTATTAAAAATTCATTCCTTTATAGCAATTCATTATATATAAACAATTTAATAATATATGTACGTTGATTCACAGCTCTGTGAATCATGCATCTGCTCTGGTGAAAAGATATGTCTATCTAAAGATCATATAAAAGAAATAGGATGATAAAGAGAGGATGAGAAAGTTGATTTTCAAACCTAGAGAGAGACAGAGAGGGGATGAGAGAGAAAAAATTAGGATTATAAGGAATAATTGTGGACCGTTAGATTTAATTCTAATCTAACGATTAGAAAATTGGTTGTAAAGATGATAAGTTTACTTGATGATAAGTATAATCGTTCCAGTATTATTTTTTTCAGTTTCGAGGTTTGAAGTCATGGTTTTAGTACAAGTATTTTAATTCTCTTTGGGGTATACAACCAAGTGATCCCCACTTGTCTTTGAAATTAGGCTGTGAGAAGATGTAATGTCCGTGTTTCTATCATTGGGCTGTGAGAAGATGGGCTAGTTTAACATTTGTATTATGTGAGTGTTCCTAGATACACGCAAACTTTCCCCCCATATTAGTTGAGATGCAATTGTTGGTTAATATATACCATTAGATTTCATGGGTTTGAGGTTGAGTTTGGTACAGTGTATAACGAGGACCTTATAATTGAAGGTCTTAATAGGAGATTGTTGAGTTAAACTTTTTTATCCTATTATGATCTGAAACCTAACATTGTGATTAGAGTTGATTAAAAAAATTGAGGAAGGATCAACATAATATTAGCATAAGTATAAAAAAAATTAACATTCATTGATCCTATTTATATTTTATTAGCCGTTAATGATTTTAGAAATTAATTTATGTAAACAGAAATTTTTAAATGATCAAATATCATAAATGATATATTTTGAAGATCAAATTATATATTTATCCCAGATAAATAATTCAGAGACATTGTATTCATTT